CATACTATGCACACACACAGCCCTCACTGAACAATTCACCTAGCAGCCTCGGAGTCCCACCTGCAGGAGGCTATCCACACACTTCTCAGAGTAAATTTTTTTTCCCCTAGGGGGGAAAAAAATCAAACTTAGCTTCTATTCAAATATATTCCCAATGTGTCCATATAAAAGAATGGAAAGTCTGATCCAGCTTAGACTGGTTTAGGAAGCACAAGGAGTAAGGCAATACTCTGTCCTCAAGTGAACTTTTAGAATCTCCTCTACCATCGTATGCCTATACATGACTGGGCATGCATGTGATTAAAATCAGATGCATTATGGGAGAGGATATGTGCAGTAGAAAAATATGACCTAATCCATTAATCAAAATAGAGAACCACACTCACTATACCCCGTAATAACCTAACTCTTTCTTCTACGGAACCCCACAAAAAGAAGTCTCAAACAATAATCAGGTCCCCTGAGAATCTTTATTCTTGAGAACTGCTGCTCTCTTGAAGTATATTCTCATCGTCTTTACTGCTTTGCTTTAAATAAAGTTACTTTACTACTTTGCAATTTCTGTGGACTTCTACTTAAATTTCTTGGATAAGAAAGAAAAAACAAAACAAAACAAAACAACGGGTACCGGGTGGAGTTGGGAGGCACAGTAAAGCCTGTCATTAAATTCCAGCACTCGGGGCAGAGGCAGGTGGATCTCTCAGTTTGAGGACAGCCTGATCTACAGAGAAACCCTGTCTGGAGAAACAAAAACAAAAGAAAAAAGAAGAGAAGAGAAAGACATAAAAAGAGAAAGAGAGAAAAGATAGAAACCAAAATTCTCAAAACACTTGGCCCATACTCGGACAGCCAGCACCAAATCTATCCAACAGAAAACAAGCATACTTCAAGAAGGAAACATGGCAAATACAGTTCAGCTGGATAAAATGGCACATTCATATAATCCCAGCAAGTGGGAGGATGAGGCAGGAGGATTGCTATGAGCTTTAAGGCAGCCTCAGCTATAAAACAAATTCATGTCAAAATAAGAACAGAGCATCTGAGATGGCAAACAGGTGTTCCTACACACAGCAGTGCCATCCTCTGTTTAGTCACATAAGTGACAAAGACAGCCACTATATGGCTGCTGGACAGAGCCAGGGAAAAGTTCCAGACACCCCGGGCTGACAAAGTCAGCACATTAGGAATCTCTACCTTAGAACCAAGTGAGAACCAGCAAGCTGGAGACGTTAAGATGAGGAGGTCATGCTGAGCTCAGGCATTCAACTCTGATGCCCACAAGTCCAAGCCCCGGTTAGACAGAGGCAGCCAACGACACGCTTCATTGCATAGTAGATTGTTGGATCAGCCAAAAGGTATCACAGGAGGAAGGTATAGGTGTTTTTCATAGCTAAAACTGGTCATTGACGAATAAAAATTCTTTACAACTATGGGCTGTCTAATTCCCCAGAGAAATGAGCTGCTACTGTCAATTATAACACATAAAAAGATCAATGCATTAAAAAATGCCTGCCCTCCAATGCTTATTTCAACAGTCATCATAGCAGCCAAGATGATGATGTCAACTCAAGCATGTATCAGCAGATGAGTGAACCAAGAGTATGCTATATACCCTAACAAAATAGTATAGTTCTCAGCCTTTAAAAAAAAAAAAAATTCTGCCACATGTGGCAATGGGGATGAACCTGGAAAACATTATATAAAGTGAAACAAGCCAGGCACAGAGAAACAAAGACACGTGTTCTGACCTCTAAGCGGAACCTAAAAAACACACCAGAATCCATAAAACCGGAGAGCAGAATGGTGACTACACCAGCTGGCATGGGGGAAGGTGAAGTGATGCCGTTCAGAGAACAAAATATTTTCAGAAGGCAGAAAAACACATGTACACTTGAAAACTGCTAAGGCAGATTTAAATGTTCTGAATACAAGAACAAAACAGGCACATAATGTAACAGATATGTTAATTAGGTTGATCAGTCCATTTTCTACAATGAATGTATACTTCAAAATAGGTTGTATAAGACACTATTCTTTGTCAATCATAAATAAATAAAAGAGCCCGACGGAGGTAGCACATGTCTTTTATCCTGGCACTCGGGAGGCAGAGGCAGGTAGAACTCTTGAGTTCAAGGCCAGCCTGGTCTACAAAGTGAGTCCCAGGACAGCCAGAGACAGAAACCCTGTTTCAAAAAAAAGAAGTAATAATAATAATAATAATAATAATAATAATAATAATAATAATAATAATAATAAATTAATAAAATGGGCTTTCCTACAAATAGGAAGACTGAAATAGCAAGAAAATATTCTATTACAGTTCAAAACCCCGGAAGTCGTAATGAAGGTGTCAGCTAGGCCATAAAGGACCTGTCTCCAGAGGCTTTATGGGAACTACATCTGAGGTACATGCAGGTTTGGGTGCCCGCGGCACTCCCAGTGGTGTGCATGTATCACTTGGGACTTCAGCCTCTGTAGTCACATGACACTGGTCCCTGTGCCAAATCTCCCTCTGCCCTCATCTTTACAGATACTTGTGATGGAGTTTAGGTCCACCCAGACAACAGAAGACAACATTTTTTGTCTCCAAGTGCTTAATTACACCGGTCCCAGGATCCCTCCTCCAAGATTTACCAATTCCAGAGATGACACGGAGGAAACTGGTAGTGGGGACAAGACAAAAGGCATCCTGCGAAGTGCCTTTTTGGCTCTATGCAGTAGAGACTCAACTTTACTCCAGCCAGACAGAGGCCTGGTGACTTAGAATCCTCAGATTTTTCTTTTTCTTTTTTTTTTTCTCAAAAATATTTTTTATTATGCCCAGTTTTTTTTCTTTTTTATTTTTTTAATATTTTTTTATTTTTAAATAGTTTTATACGTTCACTTGTATCCCAGCTGTGGCCCTTTCCCTCTTTCCCTTCCAGTCCTCCCCTCCCTCCCTCATCTCCTCCCTGCCCCCTTCCGAGTCCACTGAGAGGGGTGTCCTCCTCTCTTTCCGACTGGCCCTAGCTTATCAGGTATCTTCAGGATGGTTGCAATGTCCTTATCTGTGGCCTAGCAAGGCTGCTCCTCCCTCGGGGGGGAGGGGAAGCTCATGAGTTCATGTCAGAAACAATTTCTGTTCTCCTTACTAGGGAACCCACTTGGATACTAAGCTACCATGGGCTATGTCTGAGCAGGTGTTGTAGGTTATATCCATGCATGGTCCATGGCTGGATAAACAGTCTCATAGAAGACCCCTGTGCTTAGCCATATTTGGACCTTGTGGGGCTCCATGTCCCCTCTAAGATATACTAATTCCTACTTCCTTCCTATGATTCCATACACTCTGCCGATGGTTTGGTTATAGGTCTCAGCATCTGCTTTGATACACTGCTAGGTAGAGTCTTTCAGGTGCCTTCTGTGGTACGCTACTGTCCTGTTACTTGTTTTCTCCTATTTCCAATGTCCATCCCCTTTGTCTTTCTAGATGAGGACTGATCATCTTACCCCTGGACCTCTTTCTTGTTTATCTTCTTTAGGCATACATATTTTAGTATGTTTGTCCTTTCCTATAGATCTATATAAGTGAGGATATACCATGTCTGTCTTTCTGCTTTTGGGATACCTCACTCAGGATGATTTTTTCTAGATCCCACCATTTGCCTACAAAAATTCATGATTTCCTTGTTTTTAATTGCTGAGTAGTATTCCATTGTGTAAAAGTACCACAATTTCTGTATCCATTCCTCCGTTAATGGACATCTGGGTTGTTTCCAAGTTTGGGCTATTATGAATAAAGCTGTTACAAACATGGTTGAGCAAATGTCCTTGTTGTGTACTTGAACATCTTTTGGATATATGCCTAGAAGTGGCATAGCTGGATTTTGAGGTAGCACTATTCCTAATTGTCTGAGAAAACACCAGATTGAAAAAAGACAGCATCTTCAACATATGGTGCTGGTCCAACTGGATGTCTACATGCAGAAAAATGAAAATAGATCCATATTTATCACCCTGCACAAAACTAAAGTCCAAGTGGATCAAAGACCTCAATATAAAACCAGATACTCTAAATCGGTTAGAAGAAAAAGTGGGGAAGAGCCTTGACTTCATTGGCACAGGAGACAACTTCCTGAACAGAACACCATCAGCACAAGCCCTAAGAGCAACAATCAATAAATGGGACCTCATGAAACTGAAACACTTCTGTAAAGCAAAAGACACTGTCATTAGAACAAAACGACAGCCTACATACTGGGAAAGGATCTTCACCAACCCAACATCTGCAGAGGGCTGATATCTGGAATATATAAAGAATTAAAGAAGTTAAAAGGCAATAATTCAAGGAACCCAATTAAAAAATGGGGTATGGAGCTAAACAGAGAATTCTCTGTAGAAGAATATAGAATGGCAGAGAAACACATAAGGAGATGTTCAACATCCCTAGCCATCAGAGATATACAAATCAAAACGACCCTGAGATTTCACCTTACACCCATCAGAATGACTAAGATCAAAAACTCAAGAGATAACGCATGCTGGAGAGGCTGTGGGGAAAGGAGAACCCTCCTCCATTGCTGGTGGGAATGTCAACTGGTACAATCCTTGGATTTTTCTGCCTCTCTCCTATCTCCAGACCACTTAACCACATGTGAAAATTGAAAAACGGTTTGAACAAAGGGAACAATTATGGAAGTTATGTCCATGCAGGCAGGTTGAAGTGCATCATTTTACAGCTACCTTGACATGTACAAACAAACACATAAACACACTCATACGTTTTACAACACCTCATCAATTGCAAAAGACGCATGAAGCTATAAACAAGTCTTCCACCTCCGAAACAGTTCTTGAGAAAATATTAAGGCTATCCTTTCTAAAATGATGAATTAACAGGTAGAAAAAAAACACTTCTAGAGATATAGAGGATGCATACATTTAGTGCCTACTTTATTATTACGCAAAGGAAAGCTGTCTTGAACCAAAGATGTAAGGAAGCCATTTAGAGGTACACATACCCATCCTTGGTCTGATCCACCACACCACTTAAAAGTTCGACGGTCTTTGGGTTGGGCTTGCTTTCTCCAAAAATGTTCAAATACCGAGTGACAAAGTCATTGGGAGACATAAAAAATTCACCATTTTTTTCAATGCTTGCATACTGTTAAAAAAGAAGGGGAAGGGGCAAGAAATGTTATTTCATATATCTGATTCTTAAAAACATATAATCATACAATCAATACTGAAAAGGCCACAAACATTCAAAAGATAAAATCACAGAGTAATAACGTCTTCAAAAGGCACTGATCATCCACAACTTCAAAGAAAAATTTTAAATAGTCAAATTTTATGCTTATCAGTAGCTGTCAACAGTGGCTTTTACCCTCTAAAGGGCACATGTGGCAGTGTCTGATAACAATTTTGATTGCCATGACTTGGGGAAATAGAAACCTACTAGCAAACGTAAAATAATGCTCATAGGAGTCTCACTGTGAAGCCCATGCGGCCTCAAACTCCAGACCTCACTACCTCCAGCTCCTCGTAGAATTACAGGCATGTGCAGTACGATTAATGACGTGTCCTTTCTGGAGTGAGATCAATTGTGAAGTAGTAAATAAACTTTCAGGAAGGCTATGGTGAAAGGCAGATCCTATGTAAAAAACCCCATGCAATGCAAACAGTGAAACAGAACTGAAGCTTGGCCAACTTGAAGCCATCAAAGGGACCTCTAGCTCTGGCTTTCTATTTTAGCCAGGCAAATATATTTTTCTTTATTTGGCTCCCACAAGCACTTTATAGATGTTTCTCCTCCCACACTCTTGGTGAAGTCCCAGATGGCTTGGGGTCAGATGCTGCCCAATTCCTGAGGCCTTGACTGCTCAAATAACTCACTCAAATTCTTACAGACCGCGGTTCATCTTTAAGAGATCACGGAGGCTTCCAGTCCCTGAGAAAAGAGGACAGACTGGGATGCCATGGAGCCACGCGGCGTCTTCCATGACACTGGAAGCAGGTCTAACTAGCATAATCCATGATATCAGAAGCAGATTTAAACTGCTGCCCTAGCTAAGGTCCTCTTACTCTGCGTCACACAGGATTCTCCCTCACGGCGTTCTTCTAGGATTCAGCCAGCTTAGGCCAGAAGGACCTAGCTGGATCTTGCTCCTGGCAACACCCAGATTGGTGTAAATGATAAAAATAAACAAGAAGATCCTTAAGGAACAGAATCGGACCTACACATTCCCAAGACAAAGGAGCAAAGGGAGAAGAGGACAAGATATCTGAGAACAGGGGTTACTAGGTGACCTGAACCACACAGGCAGCCAGGGTGATGAGGGCCGCAGTGTACCGAGGTGCAATAGCAAGCTTTGTAGTCTTGCAGGTTTTGGTTGTGTCTATTACTACCTAAAAGTCTTGCCAGTTAAATAGAGTTATCTGGGCTCTGATGCTTCATCTGCAAAATGGGTATAATAATACCATCAGCTCCATTTGGCTGATAGATGAAACAAATAAGATAATAATGAAACACACTATGAATAATGCCCAGAACAATAATGCTTTTTTTATTACACGTATGTATGTATGTATGTATGTATGTATGTATGTATGTACGTACTATATATGCATGTATATATGTATATGCACAAGCAAAAGCACCCATGTGAAGGCTGGAGGACAACTTGTGGAAGTCAACTGTCTCCTTTCTACCCTGTCAGTTGGGGAATAGAACTCCGGCTGTCACATTTAGCGGTAAGCGCCTTTACCTACTGAGCGACTCCGCTGGTCCATGGTTTGGGGTTTAACAAACTCTTTTCTTTAACCCTCTGTTTCACTGAGTGACATCTGCTGTTGGTACAGCACCACGCCGAGGATGTAATGAGGGTTTTCTTTCATCACCGGCTACCTGGTCCTGGTCACTGCCTAAGAGAGGCTGTGTGGAAATGGTAAGATACTATCTTCTAAGTATGTCTCACAGATAACAGTGCCAAAAAGAGACAGCCCTGGGGTGCTATCATCCTTCACTGACATTTACTTCACTTTGGGGGCCGGGGGATTTAGAAGAAAGAATTTATTGTGATTTTTCTTTTCCTAAATTAGGACAAACAAGCATGAAATGGAAGGGGGAATGTCACTGCTAATGATAGCAATCCTACAGTTTGGTTATACCAAGGCTTCCCTATGATAGTGATTAATTTACCTTAAAACACAATTTAACTTTTCTCCCACTGGTACACATTTAGATTATTTCCAATTTGGGTTATTTTGTAAGAAAACCTAAGATAGCCATTCTTACATATAACATCTGCTCAAATTCCTGACTATTTTCAAAAACCTGACTCCCTGAAAAAGGAAATTGTTGAGTTAAAGGACAGCAACTTTCAGGCAGTTGTCACATATTATCACACTGTTCTCTGGGAGAGATTGTACCAATCTACTGTGCCACCAGCAGGGCGAGAACACGCTCTCGTCCCCTTCCAGGGTCACATTTGTTTCAAAGACTTTTCCAGCCTGACATTTTGATGTAATTGAGTCTACAGGATTTTTTTTTTCTTTGCAAATCCTTCCGTTACTTTTCTGACCTTAGAAATCCAGTCTTTTTCTCATCTCAAGAACAAATACCAACAGTTTTGCCCCTGACTTTTGAGTACATCTGTACTTACATTTAGGCTTCAGCGTGTCAGAGCTTTGCTGACATAAGGATATTCCCATGAGAGCTTTTTCCAGTCAATCTATTGGTTGTTCCAGGCCCACAAACCATGTTGCCGTCACCCCCCACCCCCATGACCCACTCTTTAGGATTCAGGTTTTTACTAAGAAATTATCACATGGTCGCCAGAAGACCCTGAGAAGTAGACTTCACCTGCGCTCCAGTTCTCCCAGGCTGGAATGGCTTCCTGGGGACAGAGTGCCCTCTGAAGCTGCCAGGCACACCACCAGCATGGATGGAGTGGCAGTTCTGATCAGTGGGAAGCAGTCCCAGAACACCCTATCTTGTTGCCCTGTCTGTCCTGGCAGGATAACGATGACTCTTGCTAGCTACAACAGCAGGTAGGGCCATGTCAAGACAGGACTCTTTGGCTGTCTTCTCCCTGTTGTTTCCTCATATTCCCAGACGCTGCCTGGCAGGAAAATGTGCCCAAGAAATAACTTTTCAAACAAATGAGAGGTTCAGATTGTGGTATTACTTTTCTCCTGGAACTTTTCTTGGCCTGATGAGTATCCTTTGAATTTTTGCCAAACGACCTTTGGGATCACCGTCAAGCTTTGGACCCTAAAAAGAGTTTTCACTGCAAATGCAAGAGCAAGCTACAGTGGACCACACCACTCGCCCACGAGATAATGAAGGATAACGAATGTTGGCAAAAATATGGACCACACACATGCTAGTGGTGTGAAGAATAAACTGATGGGCACGAACTCTGTTGCCTGCTCTTTGATCACTTCCCCCCGTGGGGGTAGGGGGGCAATGCCAGGCCACAGAGGAAGAGGATCCAGGCAGTCCTAATGAGACTTGACAGGCTGGGGTCGGATGGTAGGGGAGGAGGACTCCCCGTTTCTGAGGACTAGGGGAGAAGAATAGTAGAGAAGAGGGAGGATGGGACCGGGAGAAGACGAGGGAGGGGGGGGGGCTACAATCGAGATATAAAGTGAACAAATGATAAAAAATTCAATTTTAAAAGAAGAAGAAGAAGAAGAAGAAGAAGAAGAAAAGAATAAGCTGATGGAGTTGGTGAGTTGGCTCAGTAGTTAAGAACACTGGCTGCTCTTCCAGAGGACGTGGGTTCAATTCCCAGGACCCAAATGACAGCCCACAACTATCTGTAACTCCAGTGTGGGTGTTCTGTCTTGCACATTGACAAATGTGCAAGCAAAACACCAAAGCACACAAAAATAAATAAATCTTTTTAGAATTACTTATATGTATGTACATTTATATATTTATATTATATATATATAGTATATATTATATTGTATATATATATATATATATATTTAATGAAAAACCATTGTAGAAAACTGCTAGGCGATGTCTACTGTAACTGTGCCTAACACACATAACTACAGACTTAGCAATTTCAATCAAAAGGAACTATCCAACAAATTGTATATGGAATTTAACAAATGTAACACCGAAACAGTTAAGGTATTCACAGCAACTTAATTTATAATGTCAAAAATGCTAAAAACAAACAAAAAAGAGCAACAGCACCAATATCACACCCAGTAACAGGATACATATAGTCACACAATAAAATACAACATAGCAATGAGAATAAACTACCTCCACCCAGCCATAACACAGATGAACCTACATAAAATCAGGATTGGGAGTAGAACTCAGTGGAAGAGCATTAGCCTGTGGTGAGCGAGGCCTGGGCCTCTCACCACCAAGCGGTTCAAGAACAAAGAGAATAGAGACTGCTTGACTACATTTTGGGGAATAACATAAAGGACAAAACTATGGCGTCCTGAGAAGTCAACCAGTAACCTTCAGGGCCGTGAGGAATGATGAGCACAGGGAGCAAGGAATTTCTGCGTGCCAGTTCCATGAGCTGAACACGTGCTCTGAAAATAACCGTGGAGCTGTGTGCTTGTGATCTGTGTACCAGGCTCAGAACTCCGCAGTCCACATTATCACCGAGCTATTTTGACTGGCCTCATTTGTTCAGAGGGGATAAAGGGGTCATCTCTTAAATAGGATGGCAGGTTCATTTGGATACAGGTTATCATTTTGCTCATCCACCAAAGCAGCGGTGACTTGCTTTGGGGCTCAAGTAAATACGTCAAAGGTTGTCTCTTGGACTCATGAACAGAGGCCAACCATGACAAAAGCATGTTGCTAGGGGTGTGGACAAAAGCAGCTTGGTTGTCCTTGAAGCAAGGAACAGGGGACACTGCCAGGGAAGCGACTACTTCCTTCAGCTGCCACATCTCTAGAATACCATTCAATATCTCTGGGAATATGACTGAGTGGCCTGAGGCTTCCCTCTCTCCCAGGTTATATATGTGTGTGTGTGTGTGTGTGTGTGTGTGTGTGTGTGTGTGTGTGTGT